TTCTTCGGCTGGATCCTCAGCGTGTAGGGCCTCGCGGCGGCGATGCACAGGCCCAGGCCGTTCTCCATCCCTTCGCCCCAGGCCTCCTTGTGCACCGCGAGCCCCTTGCCGTTCAGAAGCTCCTTGATCATCTCCTTGTCCTCCAGGATCTTCTGCTCGCCGTCCTCGCCCTCGAGGGTGAAGCCGATGTAGTCGTCGATGTACAACATCAGCAGGAACCTGATCGCCTCCTCCTCCGATAGGCCAAAAGACGGGGTGGGCTTGCCGTAAGTCAAGCTGGGGGCCTTCAGGGACTCGAAGCTTGCCTCCAGGCAGCTGTGGGCCAAGAACACCGCCCACGCCGAGCCCATGACCAAACTCGAAGCCCCAATGCCAACGTCCTCCTCGCGCGGCTTCGGCAAAGCCACACCCTGCTCCATCCCGTGCTGGTACAGCTCCTGCGGCGAGACATCCTCCACCACAAAATACTCCGCCAAAAACGAACCCCAGTGCAACCGATAGAACCAGTCCGGTACGTCGCCCTGGAAGGAGAAGAGCCGCCGTCCACGCAGCACCGCCTCGTCCAGCTCTAGGAGCGCGAGGCCCGCGGGACTGCCCAAAGGCACCCACGGGGGATCCACGAAGAGCAGGTTGACTCTTCGGCAGTCCCAGATCAGCCGCGACTTCACAATGCCACCAGTCTTGGGGTCGAAGTCCTTCGCCACCGTGAACAGCCCGACATGTTCCCGTACCCTCGTCACATATGTTATCATTCCAGCCTGCGCCATCCGCAGGGCAAGTGCCAAGCGCTCCTTCTTGCTCCGCCACGCCGGGTCCGAGTAGCTCTTTGTCGCCTCGTACTTCTCCCAGTCGACTTCCCCCGAGCCCTTGATCATCAGCTGGCCGGCCTCTGCGAGGTACCGCCCAGCGAGACTCGAGATCGCCGCCACCTCCAAACTCCGGGTCCCCGGCGCTGGGAGAGACACCTGCTCCGCTCTCAGAGGGCACAGGTCGCCCTTCCTCAACTGCGTTGAAGCCTTCGCTGCCGTAGACGTCGTAGGCCTCGCTCCCTTTGCAAAGTACTCTGTCGGGCTTCCTCCTGCCAAGCGGCTCAATGCCGCCCTGCCGTCGTTGATGGTCCCCCACTTCGCCCTCGCGGCGTGAAGGTCCCAGGCTTCCGTCACCAGTCTTTTCTGTAGCGGCGTACTCGCACTCCAGTCCGTCTGGCACGTCTGCTTGTCCGTCAGGCTCGATGGATGTATCCAACCATTCGAACAGCCCGTCGCCATACTCCTGATCGCCGCTATCGTCCTCGAAGTCCGCTGCCAGGTTGTCCTCAGCTCCTTCTCGGACAGGCTCGAACTCGACCTCCTCGACTGTAGTGGGAATGGGAGCCCAGGCAGACTCCTCAAGGGATCCCTCTCTCTCAAATCCTTCTCCCCAGTAGGCATCTGGGACCACCGAGCGACCTGCGCTCCGACGTACGGGAAAACCTGCTCGCCACAGAACGGCGCGAGGCCCCAAGTACAAGAAAGGCCTCGACGCTCCGACGCCGCCGTGGAAGACCCCACAGCCGATCGTCAAGAAGCTCACCAGCCCGATGTAGCACCACCACCCGAAAGACGTGTCCAGCAAGAAGCTCGGCACGAAAGCGGCTCGCCGCCGCGGCCGTGGTAGAGGGGATTGACCCCTCAGGCCTTGGCCAGAGCACACCACGATAGCTCCGGCCGCAACCTATTCGTCCTCGCCGGCAGGCTGCCCCGAGCGCACCTCACCCAGGTGCTTGCTGAGGATCGCCCGCCGCCTGAGCTTCTCCAGGACCTCGTCATCGGCCCCCCTGTTCTCGCTGTTGGGGTCCCCGTCGAGGCGCAGGTACTCCTCCGCCAGACTCCAGTCGACCTTGGAGCGCCACTTGCCGCCGTGCTGCGCCTTGGGCCTCTGCCAGTCGCTCTTGCACTGCACCCGCTCGTAGGCCTTCCAGATCGAGTACAGGCGCAGGCAGGTCACCTCCGCGGCCTGCGAGTTGATCAGCTCGTCGTACTGCCCCTGGCTCATCATCCTGTCCAGGACAAGAGCCAGCATGTTCAGCTCCTGCGCGATGCCCGCGCCCTGCAGCTCCTTCGAGCGGAGCCACTCCTGCGTCTCCACGCGTGCGCTCCGTCCGCCCTTGTAGAGCCTCGCCAGCACTGTCGGAGCCACGCGGGCCCTGATCCCCCCCACGGGGGAACCCGCCACACGGCGATACTTCTCCAACGTCGCCAGCAAGCTCTCCTTTGGGTTCTTCGACTCCTCCTTCAGCTGCACGATCTGGTCCTTCAGGGGGTCATCGAGCTCGCCCAGGTCTCCAACCTTCTCCCAGGACGCGGCACTCGAGCTCGGCGTGGGCGACCCTGCCTGCGCTCGGGTGCTCAAGCCCGAGTCCCGCTGCACCAGCTCCTCGTGCTCCGTCAGCTTCTTGATGAACGCATCCACCTCGGCCGAGCTGGGGTCGTCTCCTCTGGACGGCGGCGGTCCCGCAGGGGGCGGGGGAGGCGGGCCTGGCTCCGACGCCAGAGCCCCACTGCCGCAGGCAGGTCCTACTCCCGCTCCCCCCCCGACATCCAGCCTCGACTTCAGCATACCCACAGCGTCGGCCAAGTCAGACTGACCGCGAGCCAACTCCGCGAACAGGGTCTTGGTGTCCCGCTCGTCGCCACTCACGTCGCTCACGTCATCGCCGGCGTGCACCGACCCGCCGTCCGAGTCCGAGCCCGAGTCGCTGTCCGAGTCGACCTCCTTTCGGCACGAGCATCCGTATGTCCAGATCCCGTAGATCACGATGAGCACGCAGCCCAGGTATGCCGCGCACAGCTCGAGGTCGCCCGATTCGTACAGCTCCCCCAGGAACTCGCGGAAGTTGTCCAGGTCCTCGATCGCCTGCATCCCCGCCGAGACGGTGTGGTATCCTGCGGCGAAGAAGGACCCGAGATGTAGCCAACGCCACAATCTCCAGCCCACAAAGAACACCGCTGCAGCACCACCCCACGTCTTGTGGGCCCACGCCGTCACCACGGTGGTCACGAGGCCCTTGCCGAACCAGGACGCCACCTTGGCCTTCGAGCTCGCTTTCTTGCCCTTCGTCTGGTTCGCCTTGGCACTCTCAGCACCAGCCTGCCCCAGCTCATGTCGCACAATGAGCCGCTCCGCGGCTATGATCGCCTGCTCTCTCTCCTTCTCATTCAGCCCTGGGTGCTCGGTCCAGGTCACTCCCTTCTTCGGGCGCGGCAGCATCCTCGCCTTGTCCCGCAAGTTGATGATCTGCACCCGCTTCGCGGGGTCGATCGCGGTCCAAACCAACGAGGTCCCTGGACCGACACGACTGACCAGCAGCATCACCACCCCCGTGTTCCTCCCTTGCGCCTGGACGTAGACGCGGTTCCACCTGCTCCACGGCGCCATGAATCCCGCTGGCGCCCCTCGCCACTCGGCGCCTCCTCCGAGGTCGAGGGGCTCGATGAGGATCTCCTCGGCCTCCTGCTGGCGCCCGCCGAAGACCTCCAGCAGCCCGTCCAGCTCGCAGAGGGCGAGTGCGGTCACCAGCAGCCAGCCGGGGCGCCCGATGGCCGGCGTCGTGGCGGCGCCCGAGCCTGGCGGGCTCGGGGCGAGCGGGGGCTGGAAGCTACCCCTCTCTGAAGGCTCGAGTGCGGGCCTCGCCCGCGAAACCCACGCCTCGAGCCGAAACTTTGCGCCAGGGGAGGAGGGACAAGCACGAGAGAGACTGCGCTACTCCTCCTCCTAATTAGCAGTTGAGGCGGCTATCTGAACGTTTACAGGGGGTGTGTAAAAGTGTGTTTAAAAACGCGTAGCTCTCGACCTCAAGACTTGAGCTGATGCGTGTTGCCAGGCTGTCTGTCTGCACGCCCCACTTCCCTAGCTTTGCTGGCTGCGTGTGTGTGTGTGTGTGTGTGTGTGTGTGTGTGTGTGTGTGTGTGCACCCTCGCGTATCCAATTGAGTTGCGCGCAGTCTCCGCTACATCCCCGTTCGGCGGCACAAGCATTCTGAGCCTTCTCCGAAGCCGCGGAGGGCTTCTTAGAAGATCGGAGGGCTTCCGATACTTCCTGCCGCCTTCTGAGCAGGCCTACCCTCTTTGCCCCCCCCCCCCCCCCCCCGGGCGCGCCGCCGGACACTTGTTCATTAGCGATATAACGACCCCATTACCCTTTGGCAGGGGGCCGAAGTTAGGAGGGTCAGAACCATTTGGGATGGGAGGTCCTTTTCTGCAGATGCATCGGACCAACTGTCCAGATATCTATGATCCCTAGTGCTAAGACGGGGAGCTGAGTGAGGCCACGCCTTCATCGGGTTATTGGGGTTCGGGGCTCTTCTGTTCCCTCTGCTTTCTGTGCTCGCAGGGCTCCCGGTGAACAGACCGTCCTGCAGTCGCATTGGAGGAGGAGGAGGAGGAGGAGGAGGAGGAGAGGAGGAGGAGGAGGAGGAGGAGGGAGGGAGGAGGAGGAGGGAGGAGGAGGAGGAAGGAGGAGGAGGAGGAGGAGGAGGAGGAGGGAGGAGGAGGAGGAGGAGGAGGAGGAGGAGGAGGAGGAGGAGGAGGAGGAAGGGGGAGGGAGGAGGAGGAGGGAGGAGGAGGGAGGAGGAGGAGAGGAGGAAAGGGAGGGGAATGAGGAGGAGGAGGAGGAGGCAGGAGGAGGAGGAGGACGGAGGAGGAGGAGGAGGAGGAGGAGGAGGAGGAGGGAGGAGGAGGAGAGGAGGAGGAGGGGAGGAGGGAGGAGAGGAGGGAGGGAGGAGGAGGAGGAGGAGGAGGAGGAGGAGGAGGAGGAGGAGGAGGAGGAGGAGAAGGAGGGGGAGGGAGGAGGAGGAGGGAGGAGGAGGGTGGGGAGGGAGAAGGAGGAGAAGGAGATCTGTGTCTGTGGCCCCAGGGGACCACCCGGCGGCTCCCCGCCCTCTTTCTGCGCGCCCGCGCCCGCGCGGGCCCCTGCGGCGCCCCTCGGCCGCCCGCGGGGCCCGCGCCGGGGTCGACGGGGAGGACCTCGCTGCGCTCCAGAAGCGCGCGGACGAGGCGAAGAGGAAGGTGGACACGTTCAAGAAGGAGCTCGGAGGAGGAAGAGGTACCCCTATACCTCTGCCCCCTCCTCGCTTTCCTCTTTTTTGGGGCCTCCTGGGCCTCCCTCGTCGCCGCCGCCGGATTCGGCCCCAAGAGGCCCCCCCAGAGGCCCCCAGGAGGCCCCCAAGAGACCCCCAAGAGGCCCCAAGAGACCCCCCAGAGGCACCCAAGATGCTCCAAGAGGCCTCGGCGAGAATGCCAAAACGGCCTCGGCGAGGAAACCACAATCATTGATTTCACTACGGTTTTGGCCCCATTTTGTCCTCCTGGGGGGGAGCTAATTAATACTCCCCTCTTTGATCGATCTCCTTCAAGATGTCCCCAAGAAGTGCCAAGGTGGTCCCGAGAGGTCCCAGGATGGCCCCAAGATGGCCCTAAGAGGCCCCCCCAGAGGCCCCCAGGAGGCCCCCAAGAGACCCCCAAGAGGCCCCAAGAGACCCCCCAGAGGCACCCAAGATGCTCCAAGAGGCCTCGGCGAGAATGCCAAAACGGCCTCGGCGAGGAAACCACAATCATTGGTTTCACTACGGTTTTGGCCCCATTCCCCTCCCTCCAAGCTCCTCTTCCTGTTGGAGCCATGCAGGAGACGTCTCAGCGGAGGACGGCGTCCATCATGTCCGAGGTGACCGACAAGGTCACCGCCGCCGAGGAGGCCGTCAAGGAGCCCGGGCTGCGCTGCCCTCCCATCGGCAGGGTAGGAGGAGGAGGAGGAGGAGGAGGAGGAGGAGGAGAATTTACTTGGAATTATTTGAAGGCGGACTCCGTATTGATTCTTTCTGCCCTTCCCTCGGCGGGCGGCGCGGCTACCGTTTGCGCCACCGCCTGAAGGAGGTCTCGTCTCTGCCATCGGCCTCGCGCGCGAAGCCCAATACCGCCGACCCACGTGGGGCCCTTCCGTTACAGAGCCACAGACGCGAGCCAGCATAGCATTCAGGCTGGGCGAAGACCTTCTGCAGCGCCTGGAGGCCGGTCTGGGCGTCAGCGAGCATCCGAAGGGCGAGGCCGTCCACGTGCCACGACCCGTCCTCCATGAGTATATCGATCCTCCGCTTGAGGTTGAACACGAGCTTCACTAAAATCGGGTTGACGATGCCCTCAATCTCCTTTCGCTTGCCCTCGAGCTCACACTTCCCCACGGGGTGGGCCTTGTCCAACCAGGCGAGGGTGTATTCGAGAGCCTGCTCGATCTTCTCCCTGTCGCCGTCTTCGAAGTTGTACTTGGACTCTCTTTTTCAGGAGGGTGTTGCACATGGTAGAGCAGCAATCGAGGATCTAGTCCCGCGCGTCAGACCACTCCTCGGATTGTTTCGTCGCATCGGCCTGCTTCTTCTCCTCCTTGGCTATATCATACCATATCCTCGGTCTCCTTCTTGCTGCTCTTCGCACTGTCCTCGACCTGCAGCACCTTCACGATCTTCTCGAGCTCCTGGGCGGCCGCCGTGGCCTCCTCGGAACATGCGCCCGTGGAGTTGTACGTGATGGTGTCTGTGCTATCCGCGACGCTCCTCGCCATCTTCTTCTCCTGCCAGGTCCTGACATGCCGGGCCTGCTCTTCGGCCTCCACGGTGGACTTCCGCTCCAGGGACTCCTGCACACACCCCTCGGCACGGCGATCTGCTGCTGCACCTCCTCCAGGGCCAGGAAGAGGTCCCTGCTGGACGTGGCCGGCCTCTCGCACGAGGCGCCTTCGCTCGGCCCCGCGCCGTCCACGCCGGACAGGTCTTCGACGCAGGGCGTCGAAGGATCCTTTTCTCCTTCGCCACCGAGCGGACGCTGTCGTACGGGTCCGTCTCTCTCTGCTTCTCCTGGACCTCCTGGTCGAGGCGGCGCGGCGCGGGGTTGCCAACGCCGCGAGCACAGGCTGCTCCAGGCGGCCGTCCCGATGCGCCGCCGTTCGCCGCCCTGGACGCGCTGTCGCCCACTCTTGGGACAGGTCTGCATGTCCCCGAAGTCGTAGTCCTTGCCGAGCACGTCTTCGGAGCCGGCCTTGGTGCCGAGCCCAAGGGTCGCGCCGGCCGAGTGCAAAATACCCTCGACGTCCTTGATCGGGTCGCAGTGCGAGCAGCCGCCTGCGGCACATCGCGGAGGTGGGCCACCGAGGAGCCGTAGCGCACCGTGATGCCGTCTCTCGCGCGCCCCATGGCGAGAGGAGAGCCCGACCGCCTCCGTGGGGGCCTGCCGCAACCTTGAGCCAAAATAGCCACGGGGGAGGAGGAGGAGGAGGAGGAGGAGGAGGAGGAGGAGAGGAGGAGGAGGAGGAGGAGGAGGAGGAGGAGGAGGAGGAGGAGGAGGAGGAGGAGGAGGAGGAGGAGGAGGAGGAGGAGGAGGAGGAGGAGGAGGAGGAGGGATGAGGAGGAGGAAGGAGGAGGAGGGATGAGGAGGAGGAGGAGGAGGAGGAGGAGGAGGAGGAGGAGGAGGAGGA